ATGCTGCGGTTGTTGTCGAGTTTATCGGCCACGGCGCAGCCGTAAATCTCCATGGAGGCCGTGAACACCACCAGCTCGTACCACTGGCTCACCTGAATCCCAAAAAAATAATAAAATTTTGGGAAAAATACCGAAATTTGGGAAAAATCCCGAAATTCAAAAAAAATCCCAAAAATCTGGGACATTTGGGGGCGATTTCAGGGGGGATTTGGGGCTGTGAATCTCCATGGAGGCCGTGAACACCCAAAGCTCGTAGCACTGGCTCACCTGGATTGGGGAAAAAATCCCAAAATTTGGGAAAAATTTGGAAATTTGGGATAATTCCTAAAAATCCCCAAAATTTGGGACATTCAGGGGAAGTTTGGGGGGGATTTTGGGTGGATTTTGAGTGGATTTTGGGTATTTCAGGCTGAATTTTGGGGGTTTTGGGTATTTTTGGGTGAATTTTGGGGGATTTTGGGTGTTTTTGGGCAGATTTTGGGTATTTTTGGGTGAATTTAGGGTGATTTCAGGCAGATTTGGGGTGGTTTTGGGGTAGATTTGAATGGATTTGGGGTATTTTTGAGTGGATTTTGGGTATTTTTGGGTGGATTTTGGGGCGATTTTTGGGTGTTTTGGGCATTTTTTGGTGGATTTTGGGTAATTTGGGGGGATTTTCAGTATTTTTGGGTAGATTTTGGGTATTTTGGGGTGGATTTTGGGCGGTTTTGGGGTGAATTTTGGGGAATTTAGGGGATTTTTGAGTAGATTTTGGGTATTTTTGGGTGAATTTGGGGCGTTTTTGGAGTTTTTGGGTGAATTTGGGGTGTTTTGGGGTATTTTTGGGTGGATTTGGGATACTTTTGTGTGAGTTTGGGGTTTTTTTGGGTATTTTTAGGGGATTTTGGGTATTTTTGGGTGGATTTGGGGTGGTTTTGGGTATTTTTTGGCAGATTTGGGGTATTTTTAGGTGAATTTTGCGTGTTTTGGGGTATTTTTGGGCAGATTTTGGTATTTTTTTGTGAATTTGGGGTATTTTTGGGTGAATTTGGGGTGGTTTTGGGTATTTTTAGGTGATTTGGGGTGTTTTTTGGGTATTTTTGGGTGAATTTTGGGTGGTTTGGGGTATTTTTGGGTGAACTTTGGGTGAATTTGGGGGGTTTTTGGGGTCACTCACCACCTCGAGGAAGAAATCCACGTGGGGCCGTTTGTGCACGAAGAACCTCACGGGGTGTTTGTCAATCACCACCTGGGGGGGCAGAAACCCCAAAATCAGCAAAAAAAACCCCAAAAATCACCCCGAAACCTGAAAAAATCAACTCAGGACCCCCCCAAAACCCCCAAAA